GTAAAGCAAGGGCTGAACTATGCAGTCCAACCTCGGGTAGCCGTATGTCGTAGTGCTCGTTGACGGTACGATCACCATTTGCAGTTTCCAGAATATGCTCTTCGCGAATAGATATGCGATCCGACTCGGTCTGCGTAAGTTCATGTTTTCCCTGAATATGATGGGCAGACCACTGTCAAGAACCCAAGACCTTGTCAATGCTGCAGTCGAACGTGGAGGGTCGACTTGCTTTGTCGTTGTTGTCGTCTGGGCAGTCTTTGATGACTGCTTGACAGTGTCGTCATGCTTTCGGATCGCAGTTGGTGTGGCCACCGACTCTTTGTTGTGTCGGTAGTCGTACAGTTCGTCGTACCATAGTTGTGCCTCTTTTTGACATTCTCGTAAGGCCTCTGCACTATCATCCCACCATTTTTGTGGTAATGGATCTGGTACTTTGACGATGTCACCCTCATTCGGCAGCTCTTTCCATCTGTCCAGTCTGGCTCTGCCAGATATGGTATGGAAATAGTAGTCCACGTTGCGTACGTCGAAGCGTATCCGACGACGTATCTTGGTAGATGTCGCTGTGGCCTTAGTGTTGGCCATGAGGGTCTTGTCGCGGATGACGTAACTGCGGTCTGAACGGCGTGAACGTCTAAAGTTGGCAGGAGAACGTGCTCTGGTGTTGGGTGAACCACGGGACGATCCGCGGCTCGGATACCGCTTGCCACGTCCTTTGTCACTGCCATATGATCTATCACGGCCGCGTGGACTGCCGCGTCCGCCGCCACGATTGTCTCGTCCTCGGGAGGTAGATCTCGAAGATCTGTCGTAACGACTTCTCGATTGGCTGCGAGAGTCTTGGGACCTCCTGGATGTCGAACGGGATCGGTCGTATTGGCGTCGGTTGTCACGTCCCTGTCGTGAATCGCTTGCGTAGCGAAACCCCCCGCGTTGTGAAGACCGTTGGCTTCCTGATCCGCGGGATGGTGATCGGCCACGGCTGTCCTGGCTGGAAGTCCGTGGTCGACTCGGGCTTCGTTCAGGAGTCTTTGCACCAGGTGCGAGATGAGCGTATTTGCATTTGTCGCCTTTTGTGCACTTGTTCTGTGCGAAATCCTTGCACTGTGCGACGTGCGGGTAGTTACACTTATCACCTCTGGTACATGTGTTGCGCTTGGCAACATCGAAGCAGAATGGCCTTGATGCTGGCTTCTTGTGGTTCGCAGGAGTGGACATACTACGGCGGGGGTTGCCACCAGCCGTTGATGTTCTGGAAGATTTGTTGTTCTTCCAATCCCTGGAATATGAATGTAAAGCCTCGCACCGTTCACCGTTGCGACAATTGCCTTTCTTCCATGCAGCGCGCGCGTTGACCTGAGATCGTGTTTCGTGTTCGTACCGTAGCTTGTTTTGATTATTCTCCAATTGTTTAATCTCCAGTATGTCCAGAACACGCTGTCGAAGCCAACCGTAGGTACGATTCGGGTCGCTCATCTTCATGCGCTGGTACTCGTACATGTCTTGTTTCATCCATGCATGTCTACGAATCTGTGTGCGAAATAGCGATTCCAATATCTTTGGATCGGGTACTTCTCGGCATTCCAAGAGTAAGGCGTCCCAATCGGTAATGAAACGTTGCAAATCTTCGTCTCTCATCCTCAGTTCTTTAAGGCGCTCGAAATCGTGCAGGTCGTCGTCGACGTCTGTCACTTTGTAGGACTGTAGGATATGCCAGTATATCTGGCGTCCTTTGAGCATGCGTCCTGCTTTGTGCTCTCTGGTCTCGATGAGCCTGATTTGGTAGCGTAAGTCTGAGGATAAGATGTCGCTCAGAGCGGTTGCGAGTTTGCAATCGATGCTCTCAAAGTCTCCACTGTCTTGTAAATCCTCGAATGTACATTCGGGCTGTTCTGCCACGCATAGGAAGGCGCATGCTTTGGATGGTCGCCCTGAGGCGGCCCCGAAGTTCTTTCGCACTCTTTGCTGCCACTCCAGCAGCTGCGTGATCTTAGGCAAGACAGGTACTCGGACGGTGTCTGACTCCTTGATAGGCGTCGTTGTATGGACCGACACCGCAGACACTGGTTGTGAGGGTATCGGTGCACCGTCGATGGTTGGTTCTGTGCGCACAGGAGACACATGCGTGTCTGTGCAGAAGCTGCCGCGGAGGCTGCTCCTGGAGATGTACGTCGTTGTTGTCCTGCTGAAGCTTGTGGTGCTTCGGCGGACGCTGCCGTCGGCCTGTGCAGGTCGGCTGCAGGTCGAAGGTGAATGTTGGTGTCGTTAGTGTGGTCGATCAGCTGATTTGTCCAGCTCGTCATGTCTTCTTGTATTTGACCCACCTTTTGGCGTGTATACTCATCAGTATCCCGAGACCGTTGTGAATACCGATCAAGTCGATGCTCGTATGCTCGGAGACGGGCGCTTTGCGCCTCCACCTCGCTTTCCAGACGTGCGAGGTAACTCTCTACACGTACCTTTTCTGTATCTCTTTCATGAATAACCTGGGAGAGCTCTAACTGCGTGTGGTCCGCCGCCTTCTCAACCTCCTGCAACCTGTCAGTGAGGCGGGCGAAATCGTAAACCGTGGGAGGAGAATCCAGCTGGCCAGTCTGGGCTCGTCCGACACGCAACTCTGCCAGGGCGTCCTGTACACCAGGAAAACGCTGCTCTATGTCAGAGATCCGGTTAGCGAGTGGCTGCACGACAGCGTTGGTCGCATCAAGCCTTTGAGTGATGACTCTCTCAGTACGCTGCAACATGTCGATTCGGTTCGACGAGTTTGTGTGTGCTTCGGTACGAAGCGTCGCCGTAGTGTGGTCTAGGTAAGATCGAAGATCATTGATCTGAGACTGAACGTCGCCGAGGTCTGTGGCCTCGGTTGGAGTTGGTCGGTTACGGAGCTGGTCGTGGATCTCATCATGTAAAATCCTGACCGCAGAAATGCCTGTGTCGCGTACGATCACAAGTTGTTGCTCCATCTGCGCGAGATAGTTGCGCAGGTTCTCGACCATCGCCGTTCGTTCACCTGAGTGTGACACCTCACGATCAACCTGGTACTGCAGTTCTCCTATGATGCGTCGATCTTCGGCGATCCTGGAATCGATGATCCCTAAGGCGCCGTCAAGATCGCGGCGTATGGCTGCAGTATCGGTGGCGTTCGTCTGAACGCTCTGTAGTAGTCCAGAGTATTGGCTGGACACGAAGGTTTCAACCTGGTCTCTGAGCTCAGCTATGTCACCTGCGGCGGACGTCTCCGCCAGCTGGTCGTCTGAGATGGAGAGGTGGGGAGCGTCAGCTTCCCTGTGTCCCCTGTCGCGGGGAGTGCATGGCCTCTGAGAGGCAGTGCGCGGGCTCGACCTGCTTTCGCCGCATGGGCCTGGGGCTCCACGGCGGTTGCGCGCGGACGAGCTGCGACTCGGACCATGTGTGTGCGGTGTCTCATCCGATGATACCTTGGGGTACCGCGTCTGTGGCTGTGCCGACACTGGCCTACTGAGTTCCTCGAAGGTAGCTACGTGCTCCGCCACAGGGACGGTCGCAGGGCTGGGGGTCCCAGCACCTGAGGTCCATCGGCGGTTAGCGCGAAAGCGCCCTGGAGTATCGAGACCGGTAAGGCTTTCGCCTGACGCGGTTGGGATTGCTCCCGACGGGGAAGGGGAGGGAGGATCGAAGGTCGGCGTGTGAAACTCCTTCCTTCCTGTTCCTACTCCTTCTCCTGTCCCCCCGCGGGCGGCGCTGCGGCGAAGTTCAGCAGCTAGACGCGCCTCGGGTCCTCGGGAGCTGGGGGGGGTATCGGGGACACCAACACAGTCCGCACTAATGCTCTCCAACTCGTCACCGAGCCGTCGCACCGTGGGAGATCTTGGACGCGAAGCCCCAATGGAACCCTTACGGCGCATGCGCCGAAGTGGCTCCATCAGGCGCGCATGCAAGGTCACCGCGGTCGATTCGGTGAAGGTGAGCGTTAAAGGGCTGATAACCTGTGTATGGGGTTGAAGTACATGGGTACAGAACCCCTGGTCCGTTGGTAGAGAGATGGAGGGATAGATGGATATCTTTCCCTCCCACGCGATCAAGGTACGATCGCTCCAACTCAGTACCTGAACCCAAACGGCCAGGTGCGGGAGAGGTAAGGATAAGGAGTATATATGAGGGTATTACACGGGTTCCTTCCACAAAAGAGGCTCCAACAGAAACCCAAGAGGCCCCCAAGAAACCCCCAACGAGGACCCCAAAAGGCCCGCAAAAGCCCAAACGCCAGCGAGGGCACAATACGGGCCGGCGGAATGAGCGAAACGATTCAATGATTTCGCTGGCCCTACGACCGTCAGAACCGGGGGTAAACACACTAAAAGAAAATCCTGGGCCCCAGCCCTTTCCGGGAACAACAAGCGAATTAATTAGTCGAGACATCCTCGAAATTCCTGCGCGCGGGACGCGGCACGCGCGAGACATCCTCGGAATTCCTGCGCGCGGGACGCTTTTCCGCGTCGCGGTCGGGGCTCCAGACCTTGGTTTTTGTTTATGATTCTACTAAACATGCCCCGCACCCTCTTTTTCACGAAGGGCGGACCCCGTTATCTATCGAGGATCCGATTTTTTTCACACCGAATTTGACTTCACCTCGTGTTTTTTATCCAGCGGAAATCCGCCGGCCTCCTTCAAGTCAAAACCGGGGGTAAACCATCTAAAAGAGAACCCTGGGCCCGCGCCCTTTCCGGGAAAAAAGGTTCTTATAGGAGGGCACCAACTATACACCAACACTGATCCTGGCCAGGATCACCCTCGGCCCAAGATCGGTGTATACGCCCTCCTGCCTTGCGCAAGAAGGCATATACACCGATCCTGGGCCCAGGGCGATCCTGGGCCGGGATCGGTGTTGGTGTATAGTTGGTGCCCTCCGATCTTAGAACATTATTTGGTAGGCCGGTAGGCGAGCCGGGACGCTTCGCCACTGCTTGACCTCTGCGACCTCTGCTGGCAGCTCCCGCGCTCGGTTGGCCCGGCCGGGCCACCGCCGCTTGCAGGCACTCGGGCAGGCACTGGCGCAGCGCCTCCGTCGGGGGGTGCGGGCATTCGACGGATGGCGCCTCCTCGCAGCGCCACTCGACGGCGACGACGACGACGACGACGACGACTGCGACGAGGGAGCTCGGACACGACGACGACGACGACGACGACGGGGGCGACGGCGACGACGGTGCCGGTCGCGGGCAGCGATTGAGGGCGGCCCTTGGCAAGACTCTCGGCGAGGGCGAGCTGCTCTCTCGGCAGGCCTCGACGAGGACGAGGACGAGGGAGGCCTCCTTTCAGGCCTCCCAGCGAGGACGAGCTGCTCTCGCTACAGGCAGGACAGCCTGGACGCTCAGGGGCTTTGCTTACCCCTCGGTCGGAAGCAGTAGGTAGAAACCTGAAGTAGGAAGGCGTTGGGAGTAGATTCGGTCTCCGCCCGCCCCCTGACGAGGAGGGAAGGCGAAGCCACTGGATCATTGAAGTAGGAAGACCCCTAAGGTAGATTGGAACCTGGGACTTCAAAAGTACCTACGCTCAACGACCGATGGCGAATGGGGGGCCATGGGTCGGCGATCGACAGTTGATCCCTGCCCCTGCTCACGCCCCGAACCCCCGAGGGGCCAGAACGAGGATGTGGACGAACGGGGCTGAACCTAAACAGTGTTTTTCGTTTTCGTGTTGCTGTCGTTTTCCCTCGTTTTGTCTTCAATCCGCCTCTAACGCAAAACAGCATCGAAACGAAAACGGCCCACGAAGTCGCCAGAGCACCGTTTGGGTCCACCCCTGTGGACGAGAGCCTGGCCTCCGAGGCCGCTTTTGTGCATCCATGCCCTGCCGCACCCACTCCTACTTTCTCAAGAAGCGTCGGAGGGGCGTCACCCACGCCGACAGCCCCGCAGCGGCCCCCGTCGCGGGCAGCCACCGCGCGCCGAAGGCGATCCGAGCCCCGCCGCGTCGAGCCGACGAGGCGAGGTGGACGCCCCGTCGGGGGGTACCCCACCGCGCTTCTTCAGGACCCTGGAGTAGCGCCCTGGAGTGGGGGGCAGCAGCAGGAAGGAAGGAAGACTCGGAGGAGGAAAAAGCACCGATGCCGCTAGTCCTTGCCCCTTGCCTCGTCTACTCCCTTTGGGGGCATCCCGGGAGACTCTCGTCGCCACCGCCGGATTCGCCTCGAAGTTCTGGCCAGAACTCAGCCCAGCAGAGGTCTGTGGAGTAGCGTTGTTTGTTCCCACGAGGCGTGGAGCACAACCGTGCTAGCCGCAAGCTGCTGACAGTGTACGGGGTGAGGAATAAGGAAAACCAGCGAGCTTAGCAAAAACATCATGCTACGCTGGGTGCGTGTACAATTCCGCGCAAGAAGTTCAAAGCATCCTCGAATGCAGGGGGGGGGGAGAAAACGTGCACCTTTCACGCTCCTTTTGGGCACCAGGGGGGCCCCTGCAGGGCCCTGCCGGGGCACGAAAGGCGCACCTTGGCCTCACCCCCCCATGGAGCCGTGCCCCCGTTGCGCAAAGCCCGACGCTCTCTGGAGTTGGATGCTCATTCTGGGGACCTTCCCGGAGCCACTCGCTCCACTCGTGCGTCGAAGCTGCGTCGAACGTCCGTCGACTTGTGTCGACCTTGAGTCGAACCTAAGTCGAACCTGGATCGAATTGAGTCAACCTTGAGTCGAACTTGAGTCGAACATCTCCGTCAGGTGGCCCCAGGAAGGTCCTCCCAAACGAGCATCGAGCTGGAGGGCCTGGGCCCGGGGCGAGGGGTCGCACTTCGAAGGCGCCGCCCCGGGTCCCAGGGACGGATCCGGCGCGACAGCCCTGGGGAGCTGTAGACCAAAACCAGCGTCTGAAAAACCCAGCACCGCAAAGGTCATTGCACCGACCTTGCAGACGTGCTGCAGCCGGTTTCTGCGTGGATTTCTGCGTGTATGTTTGCCCGAAGCGGCGCGTGGAAAACGAAGTGAATGTCGCGTGGATGTGTCGTTAGTCTTCATTCCTGGCCACAAAAAATCCACACGAAATTCACCTCAAAATCTGAAACAAAATTCTCCAGGACACTCTGGGCCCATCTTATTGTTTTCCTGGACGAATCCGCTCTGCGATGTTGGCGCCATGACACAGGATGCGCAGCATCTGTCGACTCCTTCCTTCAGTTCGAGGTACTGGGCAGCTGCTGGACACGACTTCTCGTGCAACTCTGTCTCATGATGGGGAGCGCAGTCACGGAAGCTGTGCCCGAGAATCTGCCCAAGAGAGGGGCCGAAACCGCCGCCCGAAAGTTCCCGAAAATTTCTGGGGTTCGAAGTCAATGCGATGTTCAAGTTCGGTCTCAATTTTGGCTGCACTTCGTTTTCTTGGGTCGGGCGAAAGGGGGGATAGCAAAGGGGGGGTTTGAGAATTCACGTAGCTGATTTTCATGTATCGAATGGGCTCCTTTTGCTGCTGCAGCTTCGTTTTCGGTTTTCGGGTCGGGCGCGTCTTCGGTCACTGACCCGTGTCGGTCATATGCCCTTTTGCGCAGAAAAGGGCTGGGCGCCACGAGGCCTCACGAGTCTGCACCTCCGCGCGAGCTCTGCAGCGGCCCAGGCACGACTCGTGGAGGGAGATCCAGCAGGATCAAGAAGAAGTCCCCTCGACCCAAACTAGGGAAGCGAAGAATGACATAAAAAAACACTCGGAGGTGCGCGCGGAATTCCCGGATCCGCGCTGGCTGGACCCCCCCTCCCTGGCGCGCGGAGCGCGCCAGGGGCGGCGCCCGAGGCGCCGCCAGGGGGGCTCCAGCGCGGAATCCGCGCGGACCTCCAGGGGGGTCCAGAGCGGAATCCGCGCGGACCGCCGAGTTTTTGTGCTCACGCCAGTCTCCGCTCAGCTGCCTGCCTCCCTCGGACCTCCGGCCTCGGGCAGAGGGCTGGATGGAGCTGGGCAGGCGGGCTGCCGACCTCCGCCCCCGCCCCCCCCCCCCCGGGAGCGGCGAGGCAGACCCGGCCGCTCGGCCCAGCTAGAGGGGCTGGAGGGAGCCAGGGGCGGGCAGGGGTTCCCCCTCGGCTGGGTGCTGCCGCCCACTCGGAGAGCAGAGGAAGATCGAGCAGGAGAGCAATACACCGAATCCTGAGTGCATTCACGAAAGTTCGACGCACCCGACGTAGATTCGATGGGTAACATGAATTTTGGGGTAAATCAATTATGTAGTCGATCCGCTACTCGAGGCTTGGAATGCACGCGCAGCTCATGCGCGCGAGAGGCTTTGGAATGCACGCGCAGCTCATGCAAGGGCCGAGACTGGAGGCCTCCCAGGTAGGGTCCGTGCAAGTGGAGCCGGAGGATCTCGCCGCATCGCCAATACATCGGCGATGCACTGGCGACGCCGGCGATGCATCGGCGAAGTCGGCGTGAAACAGTTGAGCCCCACATCGAGCCGCATCGCCGATGCATCGCCGATGCGGCGCGATCCTCCGACCCCATCCACCCCGACCACATCTACGAGGCCTGGAGAGTCGGCATGCCATCAGGCGGGGAGAAGGGAATGGTGAAGGGGCCCTGGGACACACAAATAAATACACACAAATAACCGGATTCCCCATATTTTCCCATAGATTCTGGGCTTCTGCTTTCCCCCCCACTGCCCATATGTTTGCATATTTTCCTGGGGAATCGACGATTCATTGTGTCTGTGTGCTGTTTCCCTTCCCGAAATGGGTCGTGCCCTGGCGGGACGGACTCCGCTCCCGGGGAGCGGCGACAGCGACGGACCGCCGACCTCCTGGCCCGCAGGCCTGGGGCGCGCGGGCCCCTGCCCGGACACGTGGCATGGCTGCTCCCTCCCCGCCGGACGGAAGGGGCCCTGGGACGCACAAACAAGTGGACACAAGGAGCAGGATCCCCCACATGTTCCCATCTTTTCTGGGTTTTCGTCTTCCCCCCCACTTCCCAAATTGTCCCAGATGTTTGGGGAAATCGACGATGAATTGTGTCTGTGTTCTTTTGTTCCCCTCCTGACGTTCATCTGAGCGGGGGGCTCTGATCGAACACGCTCTGTGTCCGAAACTCCCGCCAGCCGTCCTAGTCGAACTTGGCAGGTGACCACCTCAGCTAGAAGGATGAACAGAAGGTAAAATATAAACTTCTGGTGCTCTGCGCGGATTTCTTGGATCTGCGCTGGACCCCCTCCCTGGCGCGGCTTGGCCCGGGCGCCAATCTAAGAAATCCGAACGGAGCTCCGAAAGTTTGTGTATTGGGGGCTTGTTAATTTGAGCGGTGGGGATTCATCAAACACGCTCCCGCTGTGTCTGACACTTCCATCAGCCGGTCCTAATCGAGTTTGGCAGGTGATCACCCCACCTGCTACTGCGCACGAGCGATCCCAGCTCATGTGCATCCCAAGATTGCATTTCCTTCCTCGAGGACGCGGAGTGGCCTCTCCGAGAGTCAAGTCAAGTCACATCTGCACACACCCCTCTGTTATCGATACGACCCTACCCAATGCCGCCATCCGGAACCAGGTTCATGCGCACCTCGTAGGCTTCAGACAAGACGGGGACGACGATTCAGGCGGGGCGAAGTCCTGACGGAGCAAGCCCAGACGGAGACCGACTACTCCGCATGGCCCGAGTATCCCATCATGGCAGGCCAGGTCCAGACAGAATGAGCACAGCCGGAGGCCGATCACTCCGTATAGACTTATTCCGTATGGACTCAGCATCTGCGAGGCGGGGATTTATCTACATCCACCGCCTGGGAGCCGACATCCTGGTGCCCCAGCGGGCGTTGGATGCGGATACATATATATATATATATATATACATATATATATACATCTATATATATATATATAGAGAGAGAGGCCCTTGGGGGCCCCACTATGTCCATATCCACCGCCTGCTGAGGCTCCGAAAACTGACCCTCCAGGCGGTGGATATTAGGGAACCGGACTCTATACGCCAACGCTTTTTCCGGCCCTGCGCTGAAACTCTCACAAGAGAGCGGATCCTGGTGAATATGGGGTCCTGGTGTATACATTTTTCGTTGTTCCCCCAACGTCGACAACACCACCCCGACGTCGTCCCCGACCCTCAAAAAGTCCAGGGATTGCATGAGAGCCCGCCACTGGTACTGTATATGCTCCAGTTTCCGAGATGTGGATAGATTCCCACCTCGGAGCATGGGCCGAGCGAGAGGGCCAATCTGCGCTGTAGGCGAGCCCAGGCGTCGAGTCTTGGCGCGGAGAAGAGGCGGCCTACGGCCACGGGATACGCGGAGCGCTGCAGGCGCAGAAATTGTGAGCCGTGCAGGCGTCGGAGCACAGGGCTGAAACTAAACGGTGTTGTTCGTGTTCGTTTTGTTTTCGTTTTGGTTTTCGTGTTTCGTTGTTGGTGTTCGGCTTCGTTTTTGTTGTCGTTTTGTGTTCGGCATTCGTGTTGTTGTTCGTTGTTCGTTTTGTTTTCGGTTTCGTGTGTCGTTGCTGTTGTTCGTTTTGTAATTCGTTTTCGTTTTTCGTGTTCGGTTTGTGTTCGTTTTCCCTCGTTTTGTCTTCGATCCGCCTTCAACACAAAACGAAATCGAAACAGGAGGAGGGGGATGGAGATGATCACTATGACGAGTAGGGAGGAAGGAGAGGATCAAGCTGAGTGGAAAGGAGGAGGACGAGGACGTGGAGTGGTGAGACGGATGAGGGGAGGAGAAGTGAGAATGATCGTGTATGAAGATGAGGGCTGACGATGAGAAGCAGGAGTGCGGAGGAGAGGGAAGGGGGAGGGGGAGCGAGGATGGAGGGTGAGGAGGAGCAACGAGAGGGGGGTTGATGGAGGGTGATGAGGATGTGCAAGAGTGATGATGAGAAGGATCAGAAGGGATAAGGGGGGCGGATGATGTGGAAAGACGACTCTGAAGGCTGACGAGGACGATGGGAACCAGGAAGTTGAAGCCCTCAGAATTCCAAACGACTCTCAAAGGAGTCCTACAGTGCGAGTGGGATCGCAGAGGGATGCGAATAATCATGGCACCTGATTTCAGTAACCTAAAAACCATCATGAGCGAAGTCCTTCCGATTCATTTTGAGTCCCTCGACAGGGTCATACGCTGTGGATCCACAAGGGTTTTCAAGGATGCTTGCTCCACGACCACAGACATTATCCCGCCTACTCTTCTATGACCGCACCAACCACTCCTACGCTGGACGATTATCTGGCGCAGGTTTCCCGACAGTTGCGTCATTCAGTCGGCGTCATCGTCAAACAACAGAGCATGCAACTTGGAAGGCAACATCAAAAACAAGTTTGACTCACCCGAAGACAAGCACAACATGTCTGAGAACTACCAGAAGCGAGAGCTCTCTCACAACGCGCCTCCTGGCGCGCCCTGGGAGCTTTGAGAGCCTCCCCGAAGCATCTCAGAATCCTTTGAGCTCGAGCGCCCCCTAACGAGAGACTCTGGGGCGCACCAGTAGCAAACATGTGAACAATTGAAAGCTTCCTGGAACCCACCCGATGACTCCCTGAATCGACCAACTGAGTCTTTGCAACATTCCACGATGTCCCATGACCCCTGCTGGGCGTAAAATCAACGGCCAGATGGAGAGAGAAGTGAGAGGGGGCGGGCCTTCTCAGAAGGCTCGAGGCTCGGAAGCCCCCCGGCCTTCTGAGAAGTTTTCTAAGCCTTCCCCGAACACATCCAAAACTTCTCAGAAGACTGGAGTGCTCATGAGAAGCCCCGCCGCCTTCTGAGAGGGCCTTCTCCTTCTCACTTTCCCCCTCGCTCGCCGCCGATACAAAGAGGCGGGAGTCCGCAGCGACCTCCCTTAAGGCCCCCGGGAACTTGTGTCTGGAAATGTTCGGCCCTCTGCATCGGGTCCCCAGAATAAGTCGGCTCTTGAGAAACGGGCTCAACCACCCACCCACCGTGGACGGCCTCAACATCCATCATGGACGGCGCTCAACATGAGATCACCAAACTTGGCATCAGCCTACTACAAGTCTTACCTGTCAAATCTGCCAAGCAAACAGGCGCTGAGGTATTGATCTGGCCTCACAGGTGAAAGCACGCGTTTCGAACGCCGATCCGCATTCTTGCTGCTGTCCTGTCAGTTACATGCGGAGTGCACAATGCCGGCATGGCGAGATGACTGGGGCGCGGCTAATTTGAGGAAGGGCCTCATCCCCATTCTACAGATTGGATGCTCATTCTGGGGACCTTCCTGGAGCCACTCGCTCCACTCGTGCGTCGAAACTGCGTCGAACGTCCGTCGATTTAGGTCGACCCTGAGTCGGAATCTGAGTCGAGCCTGAGTCGAACTTGAGTCGAACTTGAGTCGAACTTGAGTCGACCTTGGGTCTAACTGGGGTCGAACAGATCCGTTGGGTGAGCTCCAGGAAGGTCCCCAAAACGAGCATCTAATACAGAATGCCCCCACCCCTGATCGGAGCGCACGCCCACTGCGCAAAAATCTCTTCAGCGTCCCACCCTGGGTGCCTCGCGGGCGCGGGCATTGTCCGCCAGGCGGAGGTAGCACCTGATGACATGCCTGAGAGTCACGCCGGGGCATAGCGGATCGGGAGGAGGAGGAGGAGGAGGAGGAGGAGGAGGTGGAGCAGGAGGAGGAGGACGAGGAGGACGAGGAGTGGGACATGAGTATCGGCACAACTCCCTCGTTTCAGCATGTGCTGCAGCGACCAACGTCCCGTCTCACCCATGCCCCAAGCCAGAGGCACAATTCTGTATGCTGGAGGCGGGAGCGCGGGTCTCATAAAGACGAGGCCAGAAAGGGAAGAGCAGACATAGGGGCCCGAACGCCATGGTGCAGAGCCAAAGTGTGTGCGCATGCCTGCGCCTGCTGCCGCCTCCACCTCAATCCTTCCAGGAGCAGGAGGGGCCGGGGGCAGAACAAACGCACCTGACCTGGACGTCGGCGCCTCCCGCCCACCATAGAGGCCTCCCAAATGGAGTCCGAGTACAGTCGGACCTGGGCCTTCGAGAACATGAGACCCTCCGTCGCCCAATACATACAGAACATCCCAGGCTGCACAAGACATCCAGCAACACGAAGAACACCAAGGCACCCTCCTAGAACCGCCCTCGATCTTATACCTCGGTCCGACTGCAGATGGAGTCGGAAGATCGCGCCGCATCGACGATGCATCGCTGATTCATCGGCGACGTCGGCGGTGCATCGGCGACATCGGCGTGGAGAACACTGGGCTCCACATCGAGCCGAATCGTCAATGCATCGGCGATGCGGCGCGATCCTTCGACCCCATGTGCTCGGACCCCTCTTGGGAGGCCTAGACACCACCTTCTACCCAGGCTCGTTCGCTCTACCTCTTTCTGGACGAGCAAGAAAACCCACCGCCACAAAGGAATCCTCGGCCCACCTGGGCAATCTATCCCCCATGTGTGGGGATGGAAACCATCTCGTTCGGGTTTCGAAACACCCACATCCACCTAATTAGAAGGGGTACGCTGGGAAAGCCAACTTCACCGAGAAGGGTATGTTAACCCCGCCAATAAGGTGTAAATGATTATTTGTTCGGCGGCCTTGATCACGGATGGCTGCTCCCTCCAATGTAAGAACCTATGTGTTTCCCCGCGGCAACCGCCGCGCAACAACGACGTCAACAGCTACGACTACGATTGCGACTACGATTGCTCCAGGAGCACTCTCATGGAACATAGTTGCTCAAAGACGCATGTATAAATATAGGCGTGTGTATATACATGTATGTGTGTACCTGGATGTGTACGTATATACCTAAGTATGTATGCACGTATGCATATATGTGTAAATAGATGTATGTATGTACATATGTATGCATGGCAATTCCGTTACACACGTGTTCAAAATTCCACCGTCGTGCTGGGGGGAAGTATATTTTGGGGAAACAGCACCCCCCACGTCATCCAGCCCGCCCATCAATAGAGGGAAAATAATCTTCGCCGCGAAAAGGAAGTTTCAGGACCAGCCCCAGTCACCGCCGAAAGAAAGAGGGTAAAGGGGGGAACAGTATTAAAACCCTCTGCAGTGGCCCTGCCCTGGCGGGGGTGGGGATGGTTCCGACGATGATGACCCGCGGCGCCACCGACCGATCGCCTGGCGCGCACTTCCGGGCCCGAGGCCGAAGGCGCGCCCGTTGCCATGGAGGGGCGCGCTTCCATCGGGATGACATCTGGAAGATCCTCTTTCCTCCTCCTCCTCTTCTCTCGTCCTCCTGTTCTGTTCCGTTCTGGCGATGAAAAAAAAAACGCCAATTTGGACCACCACTGCAACCGCACAAACATCTTACAGAATTTCGGGGGGCATGCCCGGCGATTTTCTGGCGCAGTAGCCTCGGCCGCGCGTTCGTTATTCGGACCACACCGACAAAGAAATACGGGACAAGCAAGGGAGACGGAAAAGCGGGGGAGCGAAGAGCCGAGGAACCGAGGAGAGGAGGGGGGGCTGGGAAAGGACGAATGCAAAGACAGACTTGGCCGACAAACGGGGAGACGGGGAACAGGGGGGAAACAAACCTAGGAGAGAGAGGGAGGAGACACACCACACAAGGGGCATGGGCACACAAGGCAAAAGGGGGAGCACGGAGAGGGAAGGAGGGAGGAGCACAGAGCCAAAAGCGAAGCAAGAAAAGAAGGCAAGAAAAAAAGGCACACAGAAAGGCGAAGGGCGAAGTGTGAATCTATAAATACTAGAACCATTGCGCGCTTCGCGCGCATTCAGGTTCTAGCAGGCCCCAGACCTTGACGAATTCATTGCTCCATTGAAGTAGTGGACCACAGTCCACGCATGCCAATCTGCATTCCGAAAAGCCATCGAGAAAAATCGTTGTGTTGGGGGGGCGGAGGCCGTATGAATCGGGTTACCAGAAGGCCTTCTGGGAGCATGGGTTCGGGGGCGTCTTTGGGAGCCTGTTGGGGCGTGCCGTCGTCGTCGTCGTCGTAATGTCGTCGTCGCCTATTGGGGCGCGCCGTCGTCGTCGTCGTAATGTCGTCGTCGTCGTCGTCGTCGTCGTCGTCGTCGTCGTCGTCGTCGTCGTCGTCGTCGTCGTTTCGTCGTTTCGTCGTCGTCGTCGGTTCAAGAGGGCACTTGGGGCAACTTTGTGCGAAACGATCTGCGGAGGGCCGCGAGAAGACGATCAGCCATGTTCCCAATCAACTTCCCTGTAGCATGATGGTACTTCGAAGCCTCCGGAGACTCGCGGGCCCATGATGAACCATGTTCCCAGAAGGCTATCTGGGGACATGGTTTGTTGGGGTGTGTTGGGGGGTTTTTTGGGCGTTCCCTGGGGGCCCCTTGGTGGCCTCTGGGAACTCTCGGGCCCATGATGAACCATGTCCCCGGAAGGTTTTCTGGTGGCATGATTTCTTGGGGTGTGTTGGGGGGCCTCTTGGGCGTTCCCTGGGAGCCCCTTGGGGGTCTCTTGGGGTTTCCTGGGGGCCTCTTGGGCGCCTCACGGGGCTTCGTGGGAGCCTCCTTGGTGGCCTCTGGGGGCCTACAGGCGGCCTCTAGGACCAGAGGCCGCGAAATATCGGTTGGCGGTCCCCCTCTGGGCCCTCTCTTGGGGAGCCATTGGGGCACAATTGGGTTGTCTGGGGAGCCTCCTGGGCCGTCTTGGGGCCCTCTTCCAGGCCTCGTGGCCTGTCTTGGAGCGATCTGAAGGGCCTCCGAAGGAGTCCGTGAGGGAACGCTGGGAAGCGGGGGAAGCGAAAACGCCTAAATCCTGCAAAAACCATCGGACAATTAGTGAATCTTGCCTCCCAATGCCCTCTTGGGGAGCCTCTTGAATCCGTCCTCGAGTGTGTTCGAGTCCTCGTCGGCCGACCCCTTTGGGCCGTCTTGGGCCCTCTTGGGTCTCTCTTGGGTTGTCTCGGGGCTCCGCGGGGGCGTCTGGGGCACTGTGAAGACGAAGCCAGCGAGTATGCTGAAAGCGCTCGTTTTACTACGGGAATGGGCTGATTGTTGCCTCTTGACGGCCCTCTTGGGGCCCTCTTCGGCCATCTTCAAGCCGTCTCGGGCCCTCTTGGGCCTCGGTGAGAGTGTCGTGTGGGCCTCTTGGGCGTCGCCGGAATCTGGAAATCATGTTCTCGGAGAGGCTTCCGGGAACACGACTTCGAATGAGGCCCTTTTGGGCCTCCCTGAGGCCGTCTTGGTGGCCTCCTGGGCTGGCTTTGGGGCCTCTTGGGCCCGTCGGGGGGTTCCGTGAGCCCCACGCGACGACCTTTTGGGCCGTCTTGGGCCCTCTTGGGTCTCTCCTGCGCTGCGTTGGGGCTCCGCGGGGGCGTCTGGGGCACTGCGAAGACGAAGCCAGCGAGTATGCCGAAAATGCACGTCTTACACAAGAAGTTGGCAGACTTTTGCCTGTTGGAGGCCCTCTTGAAGCCCTCGCGGGCCCTCTTGGGGCGCTCTTGACCGTCTTGTGGGCCTCTTGAGGTTTTCTTTGTACGGCCCGCGTGGCCTGTCGCGTGGAAAATTTGGAAGCGGCCCGGGGCATTCCCGGGGGGTCTGTGACCCCCCATGGGTTCGGGGGGCGGCCATGGGGGATGACGGTACCGATTTTGCCCCCCCCCCCGGCCTCCTCATATGTGTATCTATATATATATATATATAAGATAGAGAGAGAGAGAGAGAGAGAGAGAGAGAGAGAGAGAGCGAGAGCGAGAGAAAAAGAGAAAGAGAGTGAGAGAGAGAAAAAGAGAGGAAGAAACAAAGAACAGAAGAACAAACAAACGACGCCGCCGAAAAAACGCTGTCTGCCTTGCCTCCAGCGACCTCGGCCGTGGACCCACTGCATCCAGCCGGCTGCGGTACGGAATGGGTCATCACATTCGATTTAGCCGTGAAGGATGTCAAGTGGGACTCCGATCTCCAGACTTGAAACGTGCCGGGTGGACCCCGCACCTTTTGTCATGGTGCAGTCTCTACGGGTACCTCCTCCACGCGAGACACTGGGCGCGCACGGCATCTGCACAGATGCCGCCCATGCGCGCGAGATGTCTGGCAAACCGATGTAGACGCAGGCGTCTCCTGCGCTTTGCAGAGCCACCTGTGTTTCCAGCAGGGCAAGGCCAATCCTGTAATAAGGCGCGTCCAGAAGATGCCCATGCTTTCAGCGCCGCGACGACGCATCCAGGCAATATCTGACATTCGCTTTGCTGCCCAACTGTTGAAATGATGTCGCCGTTTCGGGTTAAAGCCCACGCTCCAGCAAGCCACAGAGCAGATGCCAACATAATTTGCAGACCCAAAGCTAGTCTCCTGCTTCGGTGGCCACGTCGACGCTGAAGGGCACATTTCCAGCGGTGGTATACCTTGTCGGCCTGCCAGATTCGAAGCTGCACGCTTGGCCCGCGATTCCCAGCGAGGTCAATGACATGTCCGACGAAAGTGATAAGTTCGGACCAACAAATCGCCTCATTCCAAATGGTCAACGAAGCTCGGGGCAACGGCGGCCAAGAACTCCAGTGGGTCCGCTCCGCTCCGACGTCGAGACCCATTGCAGGCAACGTTTCGACTACTTCCGCCAACATGGCTTGAGCTTCGAAGAACGTCTTGGCAACCAAGAGACTATCGCCAGCAGAGCACGGCGATGTACTGCAGAGGCGCCCTGGAGTCAGAGGGCTTTGATGACCGCCGAACGCAGCGCTCTGTCGAACGCCTTCTTCGAATCCAGCTGAATTACAATGATCAGATTGCCCCTTTGGTGGCTGCGTTCAGCAGCGCTTCGCACGGCAAACAGTCCCTGAGAAACATGAATGCCTGGGACGAGTCCGGTCTGGAACGACTCCAGCCGCAACAGCGGTTACATCTGCATCCGCCAATAACCCGATATCTTCCTGGCCGACACAATCGATGAAATACCCCAGAATGTCACCAAGTCTGTCGGGCCGCACACCTTGGGAAGCAAGACTGCCATCATGTGCACCCGCACTACCGGGAACGTGAGAGACGCAACAACTGAATTGAACAAAAAAACGGCCAAGGCGACGATTGCTGACGGAAGAAGCTTGCGATTCACTTCGGCCGTGCATCCGTCAGGGCGTCCGTCCCCCATCTCTGCGCGCAAACGGCTCCCCGTAACCCGCCAAAGCACCACATCAATTCGCGAATCTCGACACAATCGAATGCAAAGAGAGGCTTATGGTGCATCTCCACTTCTGCTTGCGATCGGTTTTCGATCGCGCGTATCGATTGACAACGGCTGCCAAGCTTCTCCGCGCGATCCCCGCCATTGAAAAGCTTCCCCCAATTCACCGTAGGGTTCTTGCGGCAGTCGGATGGTAGCACACCTGTCGTCGCAGCCTCTTGGATCTTCTGGTCTGCTGCTTCCCGTCGTCGCATTGTTTGCGGTACCTGTAAATCGTGCGATTCGGTTCCTTTTTCTCTGCCAGCCATCCCCTTGCACGAACGTCAAGGAGCGCATCTTTACGTTCATCTCGGCGGTGTCGATGCTGTCGTTTGGCATGTGCACGTGCCAGATCTCTCCAGAAGCGAGAGAAGGGAGGGAAAGAGAGAGGAGCAAGGAAGAAGAGAGAGAGGAGGGAGAAAGAGAGAGAGAGAGAGAAAGAGAGAGAGACAGAGCGGAAAGGGAAGACTACTGAGGCGGGCGCTAGTCAAGTCGCCGCGGCTTCGTCCCACGACTGCCACTCCCAACAGAAAGCGGCCGACGACTCGTCCCAAGCATCCCCTGACAGCGATTCGACGTGTTGGGCAAGGATATCGTGGTGTAGGAGCGCTATGACGGTGGAGGTCGGCAGTAACCATGCGATGGTCGGTGGAGACATGCATGCCGGGCACAACCTGGGACTCCACACAACTGAATCGGATCGGAGCTGCACTGCACTCGACTTCATTATGTCCACGCTCTGGGACACCCTCCTCCGCCCAGTGTCCGTGTAGCAAGATTTATTCCTGCATCCTTGTGTTTGTCCGGTACAGGCCGTGGCCGACCCAAAACCGATGAAGATGATCTGCCCGCTCTAATTGTTCAGACGATCGAGCGGTGAGGGACGAAGAACGCTGTCACCCACATGGCAAAGATCGATCGAAGAGTATACATTCAGATTCGCGTCCATGCCAATGATGGCTTTCTTGCCGCGGTAGCTCTCTAAAAATCCGGCCACTTCGTCCAGAGTCCCTCCTCCTCCTCCTCCTCCTCCTCCTCCTCCTACTATTTTCTGCACCTTCTCCCCGCCACTGGGGTGGATCTCAGCGGACTCCTCATCCTGCTCCACCGCACTCCTCATCGCTCGGCCCTTGGAAGCCGGAAGCCACGGGAATCCCCAGGAGGGCTCCCTGAACCCCCCCCCCCGGGGGAAGGGGGGCGGGGCTGTCCTCCCCGCAAGAAGCCCCCAGGAGGCCCGCGCCCCCCCCCCCCGGGGCGGGGCGGGGTGCGGGGGCGGCAGTCTCGGGCGCCGGGCTGGTGGGCCTCAGCAAGCGGATCGAGGGTTGCGGGTTCTGCTGCAGCGTGGCCACCTGTCGCGCCGGAAAGGGCGGCTGGGAAGGGGGGAGGTGCAAGAGACGAGTAGGCAGGGGTGGGGCAGGGGGGCATGCATCGCGAGGACGTTCGGGAGTGGGAGAGGGGGGAAGGCTTCGTGCACCCTCACGTGCCCTGGAACATGATACTCTCCCAAGGGCCCGTGCATTCGAAGCCGGCTCGCTGCGTTCCGCCTGTGGTGGTAATACCTGTAACTCTGCGCAGTGATGTGATGATGACTGACACTGTCTCCCCAGGTGGCGGCCGTTGCTCAAACTGCGAACCCAGGCGGGTTCGCAAGAACGTGAGGCGCGCCGCTCGAGTGCGGGCAGAGTCAGGACTCTGGAGGAGGATTGAGGAGGGAGGAGGCAGCAGGTGGAAGGACTTGGCACGGCTGCGTCACAGCATGGAAGTCCTGCTACCCGAGGCGTCTCATCAGCACGGGCGCTGACGGCTCTGTGATGATAGCCCCCTGGTCGCCCCCCTCTGGAAAGCCCATAGACTCTGCGGGTCATGGGGCTTTGGCGCAATTTTGGCGCGGCGCGGATGGGTCCGCCACAGACCCCATGGTCGATCTCCGAGTGGGCGGCGCAAGAGAGATGCCTGCTGAATCGCCTCGACCATAGGGGTTGCTCGAACACTTCTTCCCTCGGCGGCGAGGCAGAGGCAGTCCGCTCCAGCGTGTGGCTAATGGGGTTGCTCGCACACACCTACATCACAAAACGGGCCTTCAACGAGACAGGCCTCGCCAACCTGGGCGCGAAGCAGTCCGCAGTGCCCCCGTCCTGTTCCCCTCCCCCTGGAGGCCGAAGAGCGACGCCTACGCCGAAGTGATCACGGGGCTCTGGAAGACGGCCGCGCGACAGAGCGAACGGTCTGCTGCCCGAGAGGCCCCGCCGCAGTGGGCGCCAGCGGCCCCGAACAGAGTGCGGCGCGCAGAGTGCAGCGGACCAGATACAGCCAACCCGCATCATGAGGGTGCGCGGTAAGGATGCAAGGGCCTCCGAGGCCCGTGTTGGCGTTTTCCGACCGAGGTTGGCCGGCGAGGGTCGCCGAGGATGGGCCGAAGGGGCAAGGGGTGCAGGGGTGTCCTGAGGAAGGCTGCCCGTCCTTACGATGCTGGTGGACTGCACCCACCAAACCACGACAGCCCAGCCCGAAGACCCCAAATTCGGATTGGGAGGGGGTACGGGTTCCGCATGTGTATGTTCAATGTTCCCCGACGCCTCCCCCACTGGGAATGGAGGGAAACTCTGGGCTTTCGGGTTTGGTTTGGGCGGTCTGGTGGGTGTGACCATCGGGGAGGCAGCCGGGAGTATCCAGCCGCGGCACGACGCACTTTCGACCCGGGACGCTGCCTGGAGCCCAGGCCACGCAGCCAAGATAATCAAGGACGAGACTGCAGCACAAGGCAAGGTCGGGGGAAGCGAGGGGCATCACCGAGGCAAGGGAATCACACTCACTCACATTCGAAGTCGCTTGAATTGAGAGTGCTTCACGCCGAGACACTCCTGCTCGGACGCAGGCCCAATCACTCCTACCCATACTGAGGCACTTCACCCATACCAATAGCCAATCCTACTCACACTCGAACTCAGTCTGACCCATACGTGAAAGTAGTTACACCCATTTATCGTATGAGCCCCATCATCAGGACTGTTCGCGCCCATGTTTGTTGTACCTCCTTGGAAGCTACTTCGCTTTATCAACGTAATGTTTGCTTCGCGGTTCGAAACCCAGGCCGTTAGATGGCCACTTCAAACTATGATTGCATGCGGCCCTTCCGAAGGGGGGACGACCTGCGAAGCTACGGGACAACTCTGGATGCCGAACTAACAGCGCAGACCGCTGCGGTATGTGCAGTATCTGATGTGTTGACCCTTCGCTCAAGTCATTGTCCCATCATAATAACAATACTTGCATCTCACTCGTCTGACTCCCGACCGCCATCTAAATCCACAGACCAGTGTGTATGATAGCTATGCCAATAAAAACTAGGAAATGAAGAGAAATTATACTTGTGCTGCCCCTGCTCCTGGTTGACACTAGAATCTTGTGAACTAGGCAGATGTACGGTGTACATCGGGCGTGGTCTGCCACCACTAGCAAACAAAACTAAAGCTTGCACCCTTCCCCATTAGCTACGTAACATCCCAGGGCTCGTCCTGCTCGAACTCCAACTTGCTTGGGCCAACATACATGAACTTATGTTGTCTGCTTCCTGTGCTGTTCGCCTGTGGGTATGACAATATGTCGGGCTATATCATGCGACGCTGCCTTCGTCTGCAACAGCCCAAAGGTATGCGAGAGACCTGATGCCAACTCTAAGAGTGCATCAAAATCCTTATCCCTTTCCTCGTGTTCACCATCCTCCTCCTCCTCCTCCCCCTCCTCATCCTCCTCCTCGGTTCAGGTGAAGGAGGTTTGAAATGGCAGCCAAACAACGACACTCCGAACAGCAGGAACAGACATGCCACGAGATGTGGCGGCAATGCGGGAAGGTCGCGCCATCTTGGCGAGCACCGAGGACACCGCGTAGAAGCGGTCCGCCGTCTGGCAGATGTACGCCAGGCCCATCTCATCCTGAACCCTCTCGGCCAACTCCTCTCACCTCTCATCCTTGCATCGGTCCTCCGTAGCTCTGGAGCTGCTGCTGGGATGCTGTGCCAATGTGGGTGTGCCCAGGCACAGGACAGCGAGCCCAGCAAAGAGAGACATAGAGAAAAGGATAATCACAACAACATGTTTGTATATATCTATACAGAAAGAGAAAGAGAGAGAGAGAGAGGGAGAGAAAAAAAACAGAAAAGAGAGAGAGAGAGAGTGAGAAACAACAAAGAGAGACAAAGATAAATAATTCGCCGGCCCAACGGGCCAGAGGCGTGCTATGATCTCCGGTAACAAATTAACAATTTAACAATATCACAAGTTCGCGCGCGCGCGAGGCGGCCCTTGGGGGCCCCGACGCGACAAGTACCCGGCCAAGGTCCCGGCACGTGTCCGTCAGAGATGCCAGAGGCCCCCCAGTCGGCCCAAGAGGCGCCCAAGACGGCCTCCAGAGAGTGCACATACGGTCCAAGAGCCCTTGGAGTCCTCGAAAGATCGGCCGACGATGCCACAAAATCGCTCCAAGACGCCCACCATGGCCTCCAGACGCCCCCAAAGGCCTGCAAAAGCACTCCCAAGAGGCGAAAGTCATTGATTTTCCAAAGGTTTTGGGAACATTTGGGGGTCTCTCCTTTTTCGGCTTCCCGACGCTCCAAGATAGCCCAAGAGGCTCCCAAATTGCCCCAAGAGGGTCCAAGAAGACCCCAAGACGGCCCCAAGACGGCCCCAAGATGACCCCAAGACAGCCCAAGAGGCGCACAAGACAGCCCAGGAAAGCCCCAAAACGGCCCCAAGAGGGGCCCAAGAAGGTGACCAGGAACCGAAAAGTCCAGCCTTCAGCCCAAAGAGGCTCCCAGGAGGCCCCAAGAGGCCCCCAAGAGGCCCCAAGGGGCCCCCAAGAGGCACCCCACCCAAGAAACCCCAAGAGGCCCCCAAGAGGCCACAAGAGGCCCCAACACGGCCCCCAAGAGGCCTCAAAACTGCCTCCCAAAGGCCCCTGAGAGGCCGACCACGAGAGCCCAACCAACATCCGTGAGGCCTCTGACCCGCCACCCACCGCCTCCGAAAAATGGCAGCCGCCCAACCGCGCCGCATTGACAACAACAACCCGACAAACGACAACGGCGAGGCAATACGAGCCGGCGGAATGAGCGAAGCGATTAAATAGCAAGAAGGGAGACAGAGCATGAGAGGCTGTCGTGTAGACGTGTGTGTGTGTGTGTTACGAAGAGGCATGATCAGGATCCTCCTCCACCTCCCCCCCCTTCCTACTCCCTCCTCCCCGCAGGCCCTGCGCGCAGAATCACTCCAGCAATGCTGGCCTCAACTACGCTCGCGGCGGAATCACTGGTGAGCGACTGAAACGAGCCGCGATAGAGAGCAAGCAAACACAATTCGGGGGGGGGGGGAGCCCGCGGTCCATCCCAGAACCATCAGGAAGCGAAGCTCATGTGAGGCCCCTACCATCCTTGAATTTAATAATTCAGGTCCACTCTTACTCAGACCCGATCATAGCCATAACCGCTCATGGAACATTGCAGATAGTCAGATTATCCCACGCGTTGACCCATTCAGTATCCGTCGCTCTTGCTCGGACAGGTTCATGAGCAGACATATTCACACTCAACCACGCTGGCGCTCCTAACCAACCTCACCTAGACGCTCATACTCATACTTGCTCATGTGTGTGGTTCTTGAGATAGCCAAGGGGGTGCAGGATGCGAAGCATGCTCATGCTCACCCATACTCATTCTCATACTCATGCTCGTACTCATACTCATACACACATCCCCTCACAACCAGACTGGCACAAGCCCACTAACCCATAGACGAGCTCACTCACACCCAGACTCGCTGACATCAATACCCAATCGTACACGAAAATCCGACTACCCATATTGATGGGCAATTCCGTCGAATCCCAACCATACTCAGCCACTCATGGTCAGACTCGCGCAACTCATGCATCCTCAGATGCAGACATCATCCTACTTAGTCGTTCTCAGAGCCACTTACAAGCTGTCTCACTCTGAACCAATTTCTCAGACCAACACGCCTACAAACACACACACACACACACTTTTGAGGTCACAACCACGCGGGGCATCGTGGCGTAGAAAAGTCAGGAGAGGTGCACACACCGGCCCAACTCACGTGACACACACACACACACACGCGCAGTCTCAGACTCGGACATTCTCAGATCCAGTCGTATGGAGACCCCTCGTACCCAGGCTCACTTGTGCGCTGCATTACTCATACGCTTGTCGCCTGGTATTCAAACAAAGTCATACACGATGCACGACTTGGCTCGTATACTCTGTCTAAGATCCACAAACAGGTCACCACTCATACTCGGACACTCATTCAGGCTCACTTGTCCTCAGTCGCCCAACACAGTCTCCCGCTCTCTCTCTCTCTCTCTCTCTCTCTCACACACTCAGACCTGCTCATATTCAGGCACTCATCGGAGGACATCGCTAGAAACCAGGTGGACAAAATTATGGGGATCTGCGTCGACTATATAGGTATCCCTGAGTGCATTCAGTATTGTTTCATCTGCTTGTCTCCCCCTTGGGGGGGGAGGGACCCAACATCCCCCTAGACAAGGAGAACCCCAGGGCCCGTAGGCAGGGTCGGAAGTCAGGGGGGCAGAGGGGAAAGGGGAGTGGAGGAAGGAATGGGCGCAAAACGAAGCCAGGACGAGGTTGACTTCGGGCCAGGATAAATCGAGAATCTCTGAGATCCTGCGGCTCTGGAGGATGTCTCGAGCGCCGCGGCCTGCTCAGAGCGTTCCGGAACACTCTGGAACAGATTCATCCTCGTCCTAGCCCAGTCCAAGAGATGGGCGGGAGTGCCAGTCGGGGGGGAAGGATGGATGGAGGGAGGGAGGGGGAATGAATACGAGGAGGACAAGGACGAGATCTGGTGGTCTGGAGCCCTGATCGCAAACCACAGCTTCACTCACTCCGCCCACGCTTTTCTCCGATCCTCGGTGCTTCGCAGTACTCCCCTCCCTCCATTCCCTTCATTCCACGCTTGCACCCTTTTTTCTTCCTCCCTCTCCAACATATCAGATCCTGCTTCGCCTCACTGATGCTTTCCGTCCCTCCCCTCCAAGAGCAGCTTCTGCACAATGAACGTCGCCACAGTCTTGGACAGCTCCCGGCCAGTCTCGCGGAAGCGCCAGGGGGAGCAGACCAAAAGATTGTGAGAGATACCAAGCTCATCTGTGCGAGTGGGGACATCAGAACAAACAAACGCCATAAGCATATATGATTGGCGCTCCGCGCGGATTTCTTAGTTACGCGCCGGACCCCCATCACTGCCCCGCAGAGCACGCCAGGGGCGGCGCCGGAGGCGCCACCAGAGCGGGCTCAACGGAGGGGCAGGGTCCGCCGCCGCCCCCGTGACCCCTCGATCCTGAGCATCGTGTCTCACCAGTCCCCATCCCCAGCGGCGTGGCCTGGGCCTCACTGGCCGATTTACCCCCCCCAGGTGGGGATATAGGTCGTCCCCTTCGGGCTTCGAGGGGTGTATCCCCAACTGGGGGGGGTAATTTGGTGGGGGCCTCGAAGGGGATGGGGATCGGTCAAACGATACCGAAGTCTGGGAGCGACGCGGCGCGCGCCGTCGCAGCAGCACGGCGGCCGCTCTCCGCGCCGTGCTGCCGCGAAGTGCGCGACGGGGGCAGCGCAGGCCGAGCGAGGCCCAGCCCTGGCGGCCGACCTGGAGCGCCCCATCCGCTGGGCCAATGCTCCACCACCACTGCCAGATGTAGGACGGGGGAACAGGGAGGATAAGGAGGTCCTCCTCCTCCTCCTCCTACCTCCTACTCCTCCTCCTCCTCCTCCTTCTCTCCTCCTCCTCCCCCTCCTCCTCTTCCCCTCCACCTCCTCAACCTCCTCCTGCTCCTCCTCCTCCCTTTCCTCCCTACGGTCGTGGTGGTGGCGAATGGGCCAATCACCATCCACGAGCGCGGCGGCATCGCAGATCACCTGCCGGACTGTGCGGTGCTGAGCCTGAGACTCGAACAGTCCCTGCTGTTCGCCAGGCTTGACCGACGAGAGGGTGTCCACGGTGCCCAGCGGCCAGCCACCCGTTCATTGCGCCGGGACCGACTGTCCCGGCATTCCTATACGCCTACCACGACATGTTCTTAGTCCTTAGAACCCCCACGAGTACTCCAAGAGCCAAAACAATACCCCTAGAACACACACCCGACGTGTTCGAACACGACAGTCTCAGACATAAATGAACAGGTCGCGCAGACGACAAGAGGTCCTTAGAACATTCTTCGGTGGGCCTCGAGGCGAGCCCAGGACGCTTCGCCACTGCTTGAGACTGCGCCCTGCACGGCTGCCTGGCTCTCCTGCACGAGCGGCGGCGGGCGCTCTCCGACGGGGCGCCCGGAGCCAGGACTCCGCTGTGGCGGCCAGTGTTCCCGCAGCTGCTGCCCCAGCGCGTAGGAGGTGAGCGGGACGACTCGCGCGTCCCTGGCGAGCGTCTTCTTCTTCGGCGTTTCGACATCGGGCGGAAGGGGGAGGGGAGGGGGGGGGGTCTGGCTCCGGATCTCTGCCTAGCGCGACTGCTTGCAGCAGTGCGTCCCGCGTGGGGGAGACTCCTCCTGCTCGAAACAGGCGCCACAAACAGCCAAGATCTACTCCATGGAAGGGTGAGGGGGGGGTGCGAGGGCCCGCGCCGATCGGCAAAACAACGAATAAGAGAACGATCACCTGCGCGAGCTGAGAGCAACCACGGCGTTTCGGACACGGCGCATCTGCCGACTTGCTTTGACGGATCCGCTCCTCCCAGGTCACCAGCGAGGGCGGTGCCACGCCTCCCACAGCCGACTGCGCGACGCACGTGCGGACCAGCAGCCCCTGCACAGTCGAAGCACTGCACTTGGGAGCCTCTCATACAATCTTATCGGCTCTTGCGAATCGACGCTAATCGACGCTGGATCGACGCTAATCGACGCCAGTCGGCGCTAACCGCCGCTAGCTCGGCACTATCTCATCGACTCCCAGACGCTATAATCGAGAGGGTATACCAGGCTCCCATGACCTGCTACCGAGTGACCCGATGACGCAGGCGGTCGTCCGACGCGGCGACGGCCTCTCGGGGACGGCCATGGGAGGGGGGGGGCGTCCACGAGGGGTGTGTGCAAATCATGGCCCGAGGCATGTGCGGACCAGGGGGGGGCCAGGCAACGCACTGAAATAAGAAGAGGCGCCACGAAATCTGGGGAGATCTCATGGCCCGCGCCAAGGTAGCCCCCCCCCCCTGGTCACAAGGGCTCCCAACTTCGCGCTTCGCGCTGCGCGAAGCGCGAAGTGCGAATAGCTTCGCGCTCTCGCGCCGCCTCCCAGGGGAGAAGAGAAGGAGGAGAAATCGACGCCGAACCGCGAAGCGCGAATAACTTCGCACCCTCGAGGGCGCCCTTGTACAGTGCGGGCGCGGCCGCAAGAAACCCTTGCAAGAAACCCGACCCTGACAACCCGGGCGCGAGGTGCACCCGAGGGGAAACCGGGGGCACCCGGAAAGCAGCAGCTCCTTCGTCAACGGCTGCGGGAAGTCACAGCGCAGCGCGAGGAGCGAAGAAACCCAGGAAACCCAGGATGCCCAGGATATGGTTTCTTGATGCGCCCCTTGGACACAATGCGAGCCGAGGACGGCGGAGGGGAGTATACGGGCAGCTGGATGTATTTGGGGTGACGGAGACAAGGAGGAGGAGGAGGAGGAGGAGGAGGAGGAGGAGGAGGAAAAGGAGGGCGCCCCCACTGTAACCATCACCCCCCTCTTGGACGCCCCCGAGCCTCGGGAAACGCCCCTCCCGGAGAAGCGGGCGACCGCGCCCGGGGGTCTGGGCCCGGGGCCCCGCGCCCGGGCCCGCCCAGAGAGGCGGGGCGCGGAAGGAGCAGAGAGGGAGGGAGGGGGGGGGAGGGGGAAGGGGAGGAGGGGAGGAGGAGGAGGAGGAGGAGGAGGAGGAGGAGGAGGAGGAGGAGGAGGAGGAGGAGGGAGGAGGAGGAGGGAGGAGGAGGAGGAGGAGGAGGAGGAGGAGGAGGAGGAGGGGAGGAGGGGAGGAGGAGGAGGAGGAGGAGGAGGAGGAGGAGGAGGAGGAGGAGGAGGGAGGAGGAGGAGGAGGAGGAGGAGGAGGAGGAGAGAGGGGGAGGGGAGGAGGAGGGGAGGAGGAGGAGGAGGAGGAGGAGGAGGAGGAGGAGAGGAGGAGGAGGAGGAGGAGGAGGGAGGAGGAGGGGAGAGGGGGAGGAGGAGGAGGAGGAGGAGGAGGAGGAGGAGGAGGAGGGGAGGGGGGAGACAGGAGGAGCCAGGACCAGGGCGCGATGCGCAGTACAGTGGAGGCCCAACCATAAGAAACCTTCCACGGGAAACCCAACCCTGAGACCCCAGGACTTCCTTGGATTATTGGCGCGGGAACGTCACGCATTGCAAAACCATCGAAGCCCAAGAAGCACAGGGCACCCTGGAGGCAAGCAGGGTGGTTCTTGGCATGGGCCTACACTGTATGATGTCGCAGATTCTGGGCCTGACCCTCAAGCACTGACGCTCGAGGACAGGATGGCGAAAGGGCGAGGGAGCGAGCGGGGCGGGTCAGATCGTATCTTGCACCCGGCGCTGCATCCGCACATGGGGCGGGCCGACCATACGCGTAAGGTTTCTCATCCTATCGCATATCAAACACCGCCAAAAGTCTTTTACAATGGGTGGTGCCCCGTCCCACCCCCCCGCTTGTTGCTGGAGATATCGAACCAAGCGTCTCGAACGGACTGCCACTCCACCGTGGCAAGGACAATCATCATAAACATATCGTCCTTATCCCCTGCTTCTGCGTGCCGAAGGTGGTGAAAAACCCGAAACCACGGGCCTGGATTCGGGAAGGGGTGGGTAGAAATCTGCTGGCCCCTTGTGGGTCTCTAGGCGTGTGAGATTCCCCCCCCCATACCCCCCCCCCCCGGGACCCCAAATCAGCAATTTGACCCCCCCCCGGGCCGCGGAAGGTCCCCGACAATGCGCGCCAGGGGCGGGGGGGAGGGGCAAAATTGCCAAACAGGGCACCAACACGCCCCCTAGACGGTCCAAGAGGGTCACGAGTGGCCGAAACACCGCTCCAAGACGCCGACGACAGTCTCCAGACGGCCTCCGCACCTCCCAAGACACCTCACGAGGCCCCGAACATGCGTCCCAAGAGGGACCCCCGTCCCGACGCAAAAATGGTCCCACCCCTTTTTTTTCTCTCGTAAAACGCACATGGTTAACAGCATCCGTTTTTCGGGCGCCCGGCGTTCCAAGCCGACCCAGGAGCCCCCGAAACCGCCCCATGACGGCTCAGGAGACCTCCAAAAACGCTACAAGACGGCCCAGGAGGCTTCCCAGACGGCCCAAGAGGCGCCCGAGACGGCCCCAGAGAGCCCCAAGACAGGCCCCGGAGAGAGCCTGGAGGGGAACCACGAACCGAAAGCTTGCGTGTTTTGCCGCAAGAGGTCGCCAGGAAGCCCCACGACGCCCCCCGAAAAACCCAATGGGTCCCCAGGAGGCCCCCCCCGAGGCTCCAAAACGGAGACCACGAGGCTTCGAACCTGGCCCGAGAGGCCCCCAAGAGGCCAACCACGAGATCCCGATCAACATCCATGAGCCCTCTATCCTCGTCGTCGCCGTCGTCGCCCTCTTCCCCCCCATATCCTAGTCATCGCCCTCCTCCTCCTCGTTCTCCCCCCTGTCTCCCCCTACGCTGTCATCTTCCGAATATGTTCCCCTCCCGGTTTTGGCAGATGCGCCTCAACTGGCACCAATTGAGGCGCGTCGCTCTAGGCACCAAAGGCCCACGCCACGCGGAACGCCAGCACCGCGCGAAGCACCCCACGAAATACCAAACGTAACACAGCACACGACACATCAGCCAACACTACACGAAGTGCCCCACGAAACACCCCACGATACACTACACGGGATACCCAACGAAGCACCCCACGAAACACCCCACGAACCCTTCCACGAAACACCCCTCATACTCCACCGCGGGCGCCCCTTTGGACCAGTACTCGCGATGGCATTGGCGCTGAAAGGAGTATGAGTTGCAAGACTTGCGTTTGAGGATGCCCTTCTTTGCGTCACGCGCGGCGCGGCTACCGTCCACGGCGAAGGCCGGCTTCGGCAGTTTCTTTGAGCACGTGCCACTGCATTGATAGGCCTGCCACGCGCGCGCCGCGAACCCGTCGGCAACGCAATCTGCGCATGCAACCTTACTCTTCTGTGCGATGTGTTTCTTCACTTGGTCGTCGCTGATGTGCTCCTGTCGGGCGAACTGTTTCTCGGAGGACGCACGCGTCAGCAGTCGCTGCAGGCGCTTCGACCCATTGAATACTCCCTGCGCGGTTATGCCGCGCTTGCTGCAGGCCCCCGAACACCAGCCTCGCCCTTTCTTCGCCCGATGATAGTTCTTCTGGTTGCGATGCAAATCATCTGTATTACAAAGAATCACTCCGCAATCTGGCGCGCAGCACGTCAACGGCGTCGCTCCCGCCTCTGGCTGACCCCCGCGGCGCGCTGTCTCTGCATTTGCCTCTCGCGTCGCCGCTTCTTTTGCCTCGATGCATGTCCGACGTAGTCTTTGCCTGGCCGCGGCGCATCCCCCTTGCGCCTCCGACACGTCCGCACTGTCGTTAAAAGCAAAAGGTACGGTTTGTTTGAACATCGCACTGCGCAGGCGCTCTTTCTCCACTTCGCGTTGCTACTGCGCGCCTTGTCATTCGACTTGACACCCTGGCACTCCGCGCAAGACAGGGTCTTAATCTTTGTCGCTCCCTACCCGTCGCCATGTCCCGCAACAACCCTATCGACGCCACGCCGCGTCGGAACATCGTTCTCCGCTTTGGTCGCCCATCCTCTGCACGTTTTGCGCCATTTCTCGCCCGAACTTGTTATATTCGCCGCGCGTTCTTTACACAACGCTGGCCATTTCTCCCCCCTGGAACACGTACTTCGCGAACGTGTATACCACTAACCTCCGCCGGCACCGCCCGCGCTGATCTCGCGGCGTTAGCTCCGCCTCCCACTCATCCCAATCCACGCTCTCCCTCGGAGCATTTGCAACAGAATTCTCGTGCCAGCCAACTCACCTTCGTTGTGCGGCTTCCGATCAAAAGGCCAGAAGATCAAAAGGTTCTCTCGCCTGCGCACGCGCGCGATTGCAACGCAACTTGGCATCAAATCCACGCCGCGCCCTCTTGCCAGGTCCGCTATGACTGCCCATGGTCCGGCCCTGCGCTGGGCGTGCCGTCGCTGCCAAAGACGGGGTGATCATAAACTGGGTGTGTGTCACACTCAATACAGGATGCTCTCGATACCCGTTCAAGAAAATTGCGGCCTTTTTCAATGGGATGATGGGATATAGGCCTGGCTCCCAGCCTGGCAGGCTCCACTCCTTCGTATGAAAGCCAAACACAATCACGATCGGTAAATGCTACAAGACTTCCTCGTTCTCATCTCTCAGTGACTCGCCTTGTGCAACCAACACCCATCCACGGAATGTCACCGCGCGCCCCCCGCAACAGCTATTTCTTCGACCGGTCCAAACGATCTCCCGTAATAGTGCCCTGAGGCGATCGACGCGAGATCCCGCATCCAGGAGGGCACCACGACGCCCCCAGGCGGTCCAGGAGGGCCTCGAGACGCCGAAACATTTCCCCGAGACGCCTACGATAGCTTCCAGACGGCCTCCGAAGCCCCCACGCCGCTTCAAGAGGCCCCAAGATGCGTCCCAAGAGGGTCCCAAGAAACAGAAATCGGCCCGCTCTGCTCGATAAGCGTATACGTTTAGCACATTCGCCTATTGGGCTTTCACAATGTCCAAGACGGGTCAAGGAACCTTCCAATATCGCCCAAAGACGGCCCAAGAACTCCAAGACAGCCCAAGAGGGGCCCCAGTCGGCTCCAAGAGAGACCCCACAAGGCAAGTTTGCAAGCCTTCGGCCCCAAGACATCCCCCGCCTGCCCCAAGAACCCCTTGAGAGGCCCCAGGGACCGAAAGAGCCACAAAGGACCCCAGGAGGCCCTCAGGACCCACCCAAGAAGCCCAAACACCCCCCAAGAAGCCCAAATACCATCTCCAAGACGCCCACGTGGAGCCTCCCACGACATATCAGCCATCCAGGTGCCCTCAGACCCGCAACCCAACGATGGCGGGATATACCGCAGGCCATTCGAGAACCACTCCTCCGGTTTTTGGACCGGTACCTGCCGTCTGTGAATGATGGTCCGCAGGACCTCGCTCCCGAAAACTGTACGGGTTCGGCGGATGTGGCGTAAGCCTGTCAACCTGAGCCCATACTCGCACTGAAGCGCAAAACCTGTGAGACAGCTGTCACAATTGCAGCTGTCAGCTGCAACTGTGACAGCTGTCACCGGAGCTGTCAACGCTCGCAACCGATTACCGATTGAAGCTGTCAGCTGCAACCGTGAATCGGCGGCGAGCGAGGGGGGAAAAGAGAAGGGGCGGGCCTTCTCGGAAGGGTCCGAAGTCCCCCGGCCGTCTGAGAAGTTTTCGAAGCCTTCCCCGAAGACATAGAACACCTCTCAGAAAGGCGCGAGTACCTCTGAAAAGCCCCGCCGCTTTCTGCGAAGGCCTTCTCCTTCTCACTTCCCCCCCTCGCCCGCCACCGAGTGAACATTGACTGTACCGACCCATTCCCACGAACGACCTACGACGGATGCACCGACAACCACGTTCACGGCCGCGACAACAACGCCCGCGACCACAACGACGGCGGCGACGACGCCGACGTCGGCGGCGTCGGCGTCCGGTTCTTCCAGCGGAGGGCACACGCTGAGATCAGCAAGTCCGCCGTAAGCACGAAGGCCGGAAATGGTCAGCTTAAGAGGCATACGCCGTACGGCGGACGCTGCACGCCACTTGTTTCTGCTAGCGTACGCCATGCGGCATACGCTAGTAGAAGCAAGCACACCACAGTAAACTCATCGGTGGCTGCCAGGATGCATCGAGTGCGCTTGATTTCCGAACAGGGCGTGCCCAGCAAAAGAGCGTCTGTATCTGTCGAGACAAGGTCTGCCTGACTGGATTTACTGGGCGCCGCCAGGGCTGCCTCCATGATGCGCAGACAGAGCGGGATGATCTCGGTTTGCAAGAGGAAATTGATGACCTCAGCGTCGTCAACCTTGACCAGAGCTCCGATGACCTCGGTGCCCCGGTTCGGAGAAGCTCTCCCACGAGGCGGGGACATGCCAAAATGGCCGTGGACGCCGCTCTGGATTCCCTGCCCGTCAATGAGCCCAGCCTTCGGTCGGGCATGTCCCCCTGCAGGCGGATTTGGGACGACAACTTAAACATAGTAGATCAAAAATCAAACATCGCAAGACAACACACGATTTTTGAATACTCCTCCTGTAGAGGGACACGCCCGACTTGAGCCCAGCCCCTCTCCCACGACCGCCTCGCGTGTCCAAGAGATCCCCAAGCAGTGCCAGCGTCCACGGAGCAATCTTCTCCTATGGGCCTCCGCCGCCGTGCCCCGACGGCACGTCGAGGCGCGGATGGAGTGCCAAGTGCTGCCCCTGGCAAGAGATCTTGCAGGCAAAACGGCCAAAACACACACTGCTTGCGCTTCGCGCGGACGTCTTGGATCTGCGCTGGACCCCCGCCCCTTAGAAGCAGAACAAAACGGCATAGACACAAACTGTTGACGCTTCGCGCGGACTTCTTGGATCTACGCTAGACCCCCTTCCCTGGCGCGCGGAGCGCGCCAGGGGTGGCGACGGAGGCGCCGCTGGGGGGGGGGGGGGGCAGCGCGGATCCAAGAAATCCGCGCGGAGCGCCAAAAGTTTATGTTCATGCCGCTATCTCTTCTTCTAAGGGAGTGGGGTCCAGCGCGGATGAAGGAGGTCCGCGCGAAGCGTCAAAAGTTTCTGTTCATGCCCTTGTCTTCGTTGTCGAGACCCTGCAATCTAGGGTTAAGTCGGGCGTGTCCCCCTACAGGGGGGATTCTCGACGAAACATATAAAATACTCAAAAAACAGTCCAACATTGTCAAAAAGGACTCAAATCACAGTCCCCCGACTACTTTTTGACTATTTCTGAACATTCCCCCTGTAGAGGGACAGGCCCGACTTTAAGTCTAGGGGGGGGGGTCGGCGGCGCCGCAGGAGGGCCCCGCGGCCCGCAGGAGAGGGGCGGCCAGGCGCCCTCTGCAGGACGCCGAGGGCCTCAGGTGGAGCCCGCGGGGGCGCCGCTCCGCCTCGCCCTCGCCCCCCCGCCCCCCTCTCGGGGGGAACTAGAGGCCTCCTACATAAGGAGGCAACTACTGGGAGGTTTCGTCAGAACGATTAAGCAGGATTAAGCCCCATTTGGAAGCTGTTACGCTTGAGTGGGCCTCGGACTAAGCAGGATAAAGCCACATTAAACGGGATTAAGCGGAATTAAGCGGAATTAAGACGGGATCAAGCCGGATTAAGCTGGATTTAGCTGGACTTCGGACCATGACAACATCAGAATTTGACCTCCCAGGAGCTGCATCCGAACCTAGATGGGGTCGGAGTAGATGGGGTCGGATGCATCGGGGGTGCGGCGCGATCCTCCGACATTTGCTCCGACCCCATCTCGGAGGCCTAGAGGAACGAGAGGGGGGGGATAGCAAAGGGCGGACTAGAGAATCAGCGTACAGAGCTGATACTCCCAGCGCCCCCCGGCGCTGGGGGGAGGCGCCCACGTGCCGAGGCGGCGGGGCCGAAACCAGCTGCACGCAGCAAATCTCGTGGCCCCCCCTTTTCCCACCCCTCCCTTCCGCTGGGCCCGACCCTCCTCTGCACCTGCAGTCGTCCACGGGGCACCCCCATCGGGGATCTTCTGACCCGGGTCAATCCAGACCCGGGTCAGTCAGGCCTGCAGAATCCTGCAAACTCCTGGAAGATCCTGCACCCAAACCCGGGTCAATGCGAAGGATCCTGCAGGATCCTGCACCCAAACCCGGGTCAATGCGACCCTGGCCCTGCAGGACCCTGCAAGATCGGGCGCTCTGGCTGACCCCCGTTTGCACTGACCCCCGTCTCAAGGCTCCCGATCCCATTGCGCTCACTGCGCCACGGCCGCGTGCCTCGCCCCTCCTTCCCCGCCAGGCCCCGCCTGGGCGGACCAGGGGCGCCTCGCGGGCAGGCGCGGCCCAGGGCGTGCCACAAAGCGCTGGCGCGGGGGCGGGGGCATGGCCAGAGAGGCAGCGGGAGGTGTGGAGTCCTGTCCTCTTCGCGCTGCAAAGCCCCAGGAAGATGAAGAGGGCACGGACTCGGACTCGGACGAGGAGGAGGAGGAGGAGGGGGAGGAGGAGGAGGAGGAGGGGGAGGAGGACAACGAGGGCGATGACAGAGCCCTCGAACTCATCGGCGTTTCGACATTGGGCGGAAGGGGGGGAGAGCGGGGGGGTCCGGCCCCGCGCCTCTGCTCAGTGCGACTGTCTGCGACGGTGCGTCCCGTGGGGGAGAGGCTCCACCTGCCCTAAACAGGCGCCAAGACACGGCCAAGACTCAACTCCATACGGGGGACGACGACCTGGAAGCGTGCTGCGCATGGGTACTTGGGGTGTCATGCCCTCGTCGAGACGTTTCATGTACTTGCAGGCCAGGCTGACGTTGCCTTCCACGAGCCCGCCCAACAGAAGGCTGGATGGCTTGCCCTGCGTGGAGACTGCGGGCTGACTTGCCTGCATGGTGGCACTCCAGGCTGGCTCGGCACAAAGTAGTGCCATCTGTCGCGTTGACGGTACTTCAAATTAATTGTCCTTTGACTGTGACTCGACGGAAAGTTCTGAAGATGCCTAGTAACGGGCAAGGGCAAGAGGTGGGAGGAGAAACTTCAGAGAGGCAACTAGAGGGCTTAGGACACATGCAATAATATACATGTCCCTACACTTCGCCCCCCCTCCTCCTCCTTGTTCCTCCTCCCCTCCTCCTCCTCCTCTTCCTCCCTTCTCCTCCTCCTCCTCCTCCCTCCTCCCTCCTCCCTCCTCCCTCCTCCCTCCTCCCTCCTCCCTCCTCCCTCCTCCCTCCTCGCTCCTCCCTCCTCCCTCCTCCCTCCTCCCTCCTCCCTCCTCCTTGTTCCTCCTCCTCCTCCTCTTCCTCCTTGCTCCTCCTCTTTCCTCCTCCTCTTTCCTCCTCCTCCTCCTCCTCCTCCGACCCTCTGCAGGGGAACGCCGTGCTCAGCCCCGGGCGCCGAGGGAGGTCAGCCGCAGGTACTCGAAGGGCCGGTCCTGGGGGCCCCGGAGCGGGGCCAGGGCGCCGCACGCTGCGGCCTCCCCGGAGCTGAGCTCGGCGGCGTCGGCGCATGCGAGGAGAGGCCTCTGGACCTTTAGCTGCCCCGATACGCGACACGCAACACGTATGGTATCGTTACGGAGCTCAGCACGTAGGCTGAAAACGTAGGTCCGACGCGACACACTCGCCTGAAGGTGCCAAGGGATCCCAACTTCGCGCTTCGCGCTGCGCGAAGCGCGAAGTGCGAATAACTTCGCGCTCTCGCGCCGCCTCCCAGGGGAGAAGAGGAGGATGAGGAGGAATCGGAGCCGAACCGCGAAGCGCGAAACGCGAATAACTTCGCGCCCTCGAGGGCGCCCTTGGGTACAGTCGGGCTGCTGAAAGAAGAACCGATAAGCAGGGAACGAAGCCCCTTTTTGGCCCCACAAGCGCCTGCGTGCACGAAAAAGGCTAGAAGAAAAGCCATCGAGAAGGACCTGAGGAATATCGAGCCCTTTTCTTGCCCAAACTGTTGCCTACTTCAACGACTTGGCTGTACTCCGAGTTTCTTAATAAGCGTCGGGGGGCGTCACCCCCGCCGACGGCCCCACATCGACCCCCGTCGCGGGCAGCCACCGCGCGCCGAGGGCGCTCCGACCCACGTCGCGGTGCGACGACGAGGCAAGGTTGACCCCCGTCGGGGGGGTTACCCCTCACGCCTATTCAGAAGCCCATGGCAATCATTGGGGGATCGTGATGTCGCTGACGTACATGGTCGATTCATCGCCAGCAGGTCCCCGACAACCAACACGCATCCATGCTCTTTCGCACCAGATCCGACACCGTGCATCCCGCGCGTGGAGTGCCCCAAGAAGCTCCAAGGGAGCCCCAAGAGCACACCCCAAAGGGGACCACGAGCTGACAAAGCCACTGGCGGCCCTGAGGCTTCTGAACGCTCCAGAACTAGTCTGGTTTTCGACGCCCCAAGACAGCCCGAGAGGCCCCCAAGTTCGCCCCGAGACGGCCCCCAAGAGCGCCACCAAACGGCCCAAGATGGCCCCAAGACGGCCTCAGGCCCCCACAAGACGACCCAATAGGGCCCCACTGGGGGCCCATGAGAGGCACCAGAGGGGGAACACAAACCCACACTTCGAGCCCTTCGCCCCAAAATGGCCCCCAAGAAAGGCCCCTTCACAAGTTCCGGGAGGCTCCCAAGAGGCCCAAATCAGGCCCCAAGAGGCCCCCAAGAGACCGCCGAGAGTGAGGATCATGTTAACGAAGCTTTTCTGGGGACTTTTCATATCGATCTGCCGCCTCGGATATCGATAGAACTGCTCCCTCGGGGGGTGGATGTAGAGATATCTGAGGCGGTCCTCCTGGGCAAACGTTTTTTTATCAGGCCTCGACGGCTCCTTATTTGCACTATCGAGCAGCTCGCCTCCCGTCGTTTAGCTTGAGAAGGGGGCGCGGCGGAATAATAATAGAAGGGTTGCGAACCAGGCCAAAAGAGTAAACTGTGTCAGGTGGACCCTGCATTATTCCCCAACACGACGTCGCACGCGAGAGCAGAAATCAAAGAGCGAGGGTGGATGAGGAACGCGCGTTCTGGTCAGGGGAGGGAAAGGGTAGCGATGAGAGGCTAGGGGGAGGGAGGTCAGAGTCAGAGGAGGGGGGCGGAGAGGATGTAGCGTGGTAGCTGTTTTTGGCACAATGTCTCGGGCGGCCCTCGTCGAAGACATTCGACGTTTCATTACCAAACGGGGGCTGACCGCTGCCACCTCCATTTCATACAGAGATGCAGCGAATATGGTTGTCAGTTTGTCTGATTCCGACGGGATATCGCATAGATCAGTGAAGCGTCACATCATTTCATATTGCGTCAGTCGAGGTGTTCCCAGGGCCAGCGACAGTTTCGACATACATATGTTTCGAGATGTGATGGGCAACGCCTTTGACACAAACATCACGGACCAAGACTTCAGCAAAATATTCGATCACTCTCAAGCACGACCCCCACGTCCAGCGATTCTCGATGATGACCACCACCAGCTCATACAATCAGAACAACCCAACGCTGACGAACGGCCTGACTTCTTGGAGCTTGTGGAACGGTACACCACCTGGGATCGCGATGAGCTCGTATCAACGCTGGCGCAGATGACGTCGCACATTTCGCAGAAGAACGATGTCATTCGGTCCCTGAGAAGAGCGAATGGCAGACTGGCCAGCAAACTCACCCGCACAACAAACCAGCTCGACGCTACGAGAGAGCAGCTTGACACCATCGTCCAGCAAATCAACGTCAGGGGTAGCAACAAGAGACGGGTGTCAGCATTTGGCGGATACAGTTTGGCAATCAGGAGGAACTACGGCCAAGTTAGTGAGATCAGTGCGCTGGCCATGCTGGCTGGCCCCGAGGTTCATGGAGCTCTCAAGGATCCTGGCGTCATCTCGAGGTTTCAGCACAAGGCTGCCTTGTGCGACAGAGTGCGGCTCAGGATTGAGCACCAGCGGCACGAATCGTCGATGGTGAATGGCGCAGACTTTGCAGTTTTGGTGTGCGAGTACAAAGGCGACGCAACCCACCAGAATGCCATCGAAAAGGAGTCCGTGCAGATGGGCACCGTCTCGACGATGGCATTTACGACCAGCCACATTGACAAAGCAACCGCTGACGACGGCAAGTTTTCGTTGGATCTGTTCGAAAAAAACGTCATCTACACCCGTGGGTTCTGCGACCTCGCTGTCGTCAATGACAAGTCGTCGCAAGGCAACTACGTCCGCACCATGAAGCAGTTTCTCTCCGTGGGGGCGAAGTCGCCTGCTGAGCGAGCAGCCGATCTTTCTGGAGGCTCAGCAGCAGCCGCGCCGCCCACTGCCCGACAATACTATATGTACTCGTTCGGTGCGGGGAATCGCTCTCATCGTCTCCGCACGCCCCCCCCCCTCTCTTGCCCCCGACCCCCCGCGTCAGCCCTTCGCCCCTCCGACTGCCATCGCAAGCGAGAGGACATGGGGGGATCGGGTGGCTGGAAGGGGGGCGGGGAGAAGGGGGGGGAAGCGGGCGACGACGATGGGGGCGCTTCCCTACAGGTCTCGACGCTGGCGGCGACAATCAGGGGATGATGAGGATGCTGCGCAACCTTGCTTCGCCCATCCCGACACTCTTCATACTCAAAACGTTCTGCTTGTTTCACCAATACCACCTCATCGTCCTAAGCATGTTGAAAACGTTGGATGCATTCGAGTGGCCAGACGGACCAATGCAGGTGAAGTATTTTTCTGGCGTGTCTGCGGTTTCTGGCTTTTGGAGGTCGACTGGCATGCTGAGCAAGTTGCGGGACGTGGCCGTCGATCTCTTTGATGACGAGGTTGCGACTAACAACTTCTCGACCGTGCCCAGTCGATGCCTTCGGGGGCGATGGGGGTCTATGGATGACGTCGAGGCTTTCTTGATGGGCAGGCTTCCGCTAGTCCACGCCGTGCTCCGCAGGTGGATGGATGTGAATAAAAAGAAGGTCACCATCGCAGCAGTCGGCGGCGATGAAGACGCAGCCTACCAGGCGCACGCCAGGGCCATGATATCAAACGCATGCGCTATGTCGGGGGACCGTCGTTTCCAATTCATGGTGGCCGCTTCGCTCATTGCGAAGAATCCTCTGGTGGGATATTTCAATTGGGCCCAGAAGCGCATTCGGGAAACAAACAAGTATCAAGACGATGCCGTCGCGAATGGGCAGTCGTACTTCGGCCCGACGTTTGTGTCCGACCTTGTGCAGTTTAAGGCGAAGGAGGTCGCTGGTCAGATACGTGCGTTGATGGACCCTGCTGCGTTTCGCGCTACAGATCTATGGGGCGGCCCTCTTTCAGAACTCCCTCCTGCTGCTCTTCCACGGGCGAATCTCCTAATCATGGCGCTTACCTTGAAGGCGCAGGCCCAGTGGCACATGCGGTTCACAAAGATGTGCTCATCGTTTCCTTTGGCGGCCCTTGCGTTCTGCGAGAAGTCTGCAGACATTGATTGTCCACGTCGGAGGGAGGTGGCGTCCGCGTTGCTAGATACTGACGACTGTTGTCTGCAGGATGAGTTCTCAGACTTTGCAATAAAGTTCAAGGCAGCATTTCGCGCAGAGATCGGAGTGGCCAAGGAACTTGGCATATGCCACCATGCGTTGTACGGCTTCTGCTTGTCGCTGAGGGCTTCGATATCAGGGCACACTCAAGACATCGAGGGCTTCAACAACGTGATTCAATGCATGGCTAACCGAGCCCCAGCGATGAAAGCGTCCACGGCCAACGCTCGCATGATCATCAAGAGTAGGCAGTTCAGGTTGACCGTGGAGGATTGCTGCTATCTTGATGAGCAGGCACCCCGCTCATCCTTCTCCTTTCCTGCATCTTTCTCCTGGCTCATTCTCTTCTCTCGGCCCTCGCTCCGAGGCAACGGTGCTGGCCGACACGGCATGGCACCGAGAACGCCTTTGCCGCGCCGTGGTCCCAGTCGGTGGCGGCGGGTTGCCGTCAGAGAAGAAGCTCGTGGAGTCGTGCGCCCATGTGTCTCCAGTCGACAAGCTATACTGCGCGAGGGCTGCGCTGTCTGCTTACCATATCGTGGACGAGCTCCCCGATTTTGTCTACGATATCAGCGACAAGGCTGGGCACGTCATCACTGCTGGGTTTGTTGTGGCTTTTACGTATGGAACCAAAGTAACTGTTCGCAGGGGAGTGTGCTCCGACGACGGGGCAGGCAATTTGATTTTCAAGTTGAACGAAGGATGGCCAGACCCAATCCCGCTGCTCGATTATTGCTATAGCATCGACTTCCTCCGCACATACAAGGATCACCCAAAGAAGCCTGTCTACTTGGTCTGGAGTTCGCTTTCGTGGTCCAACGGCGTGGCGACTGTGAGCTCTGAGAACAGCGGGCACCAACGGCTCACGATGGCTCTCAAGACGGCCAAGGCTGCGCCCGCGGGCGCTGGCGCGGCCGCGCCAGCACCGGCACCAGCCGCGCCAG